CCCTTCCACTTTGTCGGATGTTTTACTACCCATCTTCCTTTTCTAGGCCTTCTCCCTCGATGTGCCAGAGCCTCCCTCTTCCCACAGCAGCCTTTCCTTTGCCCCCTCTCCCCGAGGCTTCCCCGCAGACCTGATCCCTTCCCACCGTCCGGCACCATCTCCAGCTCCCGGGCCTCTCCTGGATCTGTGCTTCCTTCTGTTTCTACCTCTCATCACTCTTTCAGTCAGACGCCCACCCCATCCTAGACCAGCGCCCTCAGTGTGTCCCAATGCGCTCCCCTCTTCTCTCCTCTCTGAGCCCAGATTCCCTGGCTCTGTGCCTCCTCCAGCACCCGCCTCTGCTGCTCCCGGTAACACCTGTACACGACTTAGCTCCGTTTCCGTAGAATTTCTGCATGATCTGCCTTCATCTTCCTAAAACCTTGAGGAGCAGCTGTCTCCCTCATCACCGTTCCCCTCTCGGCCGCATGCTTCAGGCTTTAGCAGATGTTCCTTAAGTATTTGTTGAAGGAATGATGGTTCTCTTACCTTCCGTATGTTCTGTTTATTTGAATTTCAATGTTTGTGCCATTTTGTAGATTTTTTCCCACTGGGATGTACAGTGGCGTCTATATCTGTCTATCCCTGCGTACTCGAAGCTCCTCGAACTCAGTTTATTACATGTTGCCTGTGTGGTTCCTCTGGATCCCCGTGCCAGGTGCTGGGAGGCAGGTGTGTAGAAAGGCAGCGTGTCAGGGCAGGGGGTTTAACGGCCTTTCCCCTCTTCAATGTCATTAGGACCCAAAGAGCTGTTGCTTATGTAGCTTATTTACTTATTAAAGTGACTATATTCAGAATGAACACTGAACTCATTAAAACATAATAAGAAATCCACTTCATGAAAACATAAATAACATTTCTATGAGAAGTAACTTACATCTTCCAAACAAAAGTGGTTAGTGGAAAGAATGGCAGTGTGTTCTGTTTCATGCCTGGTCCGTTAGAAAAGACCTGGATGTTCGTATCTGTTTCAATATTCACTGTATTGCGATGTTTTAGAGGAACCATCTGAGGACTGTCTGGCCTCTCTCAGGTGCGTGGCTGAAAAGGCAGGAGTGTTTTTAACAGTCATTTCAGATCATCGTGGGTATTTTTTCAGGTATTCCACCCGCACTCAACCGTGGCGGTTTCTTAAAGGTTAATTGTAATGTGGACTCTGAAACTGTTATCAATGAACTTTTTCGTAGTTACTTAAGTGTCATTAGTCGTTCTTGCCCCTGAAATAGCTCATTTGCTCATAGATGATGTTGCAACATCATGCTTCAGCCATTTAGAAAATACTGGTGCCCTGAGTTACGCAGCTTTTCTAAATATTGGTGCACAGCGTTGTACAAAAAAAAACAAAGACACTCAAAACCACATTTGCTAACACTGCTACCAATCTCATCAGGAAGGTCTTTGGGAAGCTGTTGGGTTCATAGTGGCTAACGTGAGTTTTCTAAGGTTCTAATTTCTGTTTGAAAATTAGCATCGTATCATTTGCAGCCCAAGCTGTAAGGTATTTCTCTGGAAACGACCGGCTCCCTTGTTTTCGTCTTGGAGGAGATAATGCCCATATCCGTGGGCTTTTCTAAAAGTCCTTCCAAGTAGAATGACGTTCTGGAGGAAGTGGCCAGAGAGCCCTCAGCTTGGCCACGTGAGTGCTTCTGCTTCACAGGTCCCCCGCTTGGCATGCGGCAGAAGCACTTCCCTATTTTGTCACACAGAATGGTAAAGGGATCAAGGGCCACGGTTTCACTGATTTATTTTATTAAATTTATCTTTATTGTTGAAAGTATTACAGATGTGTCTCCCCTCTGCCCCCAGTGATCCTCTACACCCTGCTCCCTCCCCTCCCCAGGCCTTCCCGCACTGTCGTCTGTCCATGGGTTATGCGTATATGCACATGAGTTCTTTGGTTAATCTCTTTTTCCTGCTCCCACCTTTCCCTCTGAAATACCTTAGTCTGCTTCATGCTTCAATGTCTCTGGATCTATTTTGTTAAGGGTCAATGTCATAATAAAATTAACCATTTTTGCTGCTTCATCAAAGACACTCTTAAATGAAACTGGTGATCTTTTTAATGACTGCGTGGCCAGGAGTAGCTCAGTGACCACTAGTGCACTGTGAGCCCTGCCCCGTCTAGTGCCATCACCCAGCAGCGCATACTGGCAACACTGTGAAAAAGGCAGATAACGTCTTAGTATTGTTCTTTTTAATTTTTTTTTAAATATATTTTATTGATTTCAGAGAGGAAAGGAGAGGGAAAGAAACATCAGTGATGAGAGATAATCATTAATTGGCTGCCTCTTGCACGCCCTCTACTTGGTATGGAGCCCGCAACGTGGTCATGTGTCCTTGACCAGAATCGAACCCGGGACTCTTCAGTCTGCAGGCCAATGCTCTATCCACTGAGCTAAACTGGCTAGGGCTTAGTATTGTTCTGAAGGGGGTTTTGACCTACTTCCCAGTCCTTGTGAAGGTCTTGGGGACCCCGGAGTCCATGGCCTAGGCTTTGATACCCCTGGGGAAATGCAGCCTCAGCCCCCACAGAGCTGGACTCACTCCCCACCTCCTTCAAGTGTGAGGTCTCTTCAAGTGTGAGGCCCTCCCTCCCTGACCTCCACGTTTCAGATTAGCCCGCCTTCCACCCCTGGCCCTGGCCCTGGCCCTGGCCCTGCTTGCTGTATTTTTCTCCATACCCCTTGCCACCATTTAATACACTGTATTCTCCACTTTGTCCTCCTCCCTCCAGTAATATTCAAGCTCAGGATGGCAGAGGCGTTTATTGCGATACTCCCAGCGCTATGAGTAGTTAGTACCTGGCGCACAGAGGCAGTGGTGTTAAGTCTTTGAGTGAGTGACTGAGTGAATGACAGTGGCAGGCCGGAGGAGAGTAGCTCATGCCTTTGCCCCGTTCCCCATGGGGTCCCGGCCTCTGTTGACTTCTGCTCTCCCCGGTTCTCCAGCCAGTGCTCCCCCACACCGCCGTGTGCCTCGTGTGTGGCGAGGCGGGGAAGGAAGACACAGTGGAAGAGGAAGAAGGCAAGTTTAACCTCATGCTCATGGAGTGCTCCATCTGCAACGAAATCATCCACCCTGGATGCCTTAAGGTGAGCGGCCTCGGGGGGCACCTGGCTATGCTGCTCGACACTCCTCCTCGGGGCCTCTAGTGTTGGTGAAGCTAGGGGGGCAGGGGACACTTAGATTCCTCCATGGGGGCCCTCACATCGGGGGGATTCTGTGTGTCAGATACAAGCTGAGGGCAAGAAGGGTCTGGAGTAGCTCAGATCCCACGCACGCACAGGTGCAGGGCTCCCCCCACCCCCAGGCAGTACCTCAGAACTACAGTTTCCAGAGGCTCCACCTGGGCCTGAGGGAGACGCTGGCTGGTCAGGCTGCTTGCTGGGACCCTGGCTCGGGGCTTCTGACCGAACCGGGGCCTGGCCAGGGGCGGGCCCATAACACTGGGGGTTGTGTTCCCGGGTGCCGGGGACCTGCCCTTGGTGTGTGCAGCAGGGCGGCCGTCTGGGGGCGGCCGGGCTGTACCTGCCTGTCTTGGGCAGCAGGTTCTTCCTTTGAAAGGAAGGGACTGTTGTGGGCTGGCACACAGCTTCTGTCCCAGCAGAATGTCGACATACCTGGCACCTCCCTGTCGGCTTGTGTGCATCTGTGTGTTTTAAAGAGGTCAGGGTGGGCCTGCCCCAAATGGTACCTGGGCCCCGAGTGTCCCCTTTCTCTGGGTGGCCTGACCGGTCTGTTGTGACGCTCACCACCACCCCCACCCCCCTCACACATGGACTCTCACTCTGAAGGGGACGCTTTGCTGTTCCCAGACTGGAAGTCAGACCACCTCGTCTTAATTGCCTGGTTACTTCTCTCCCCCACATCAGCAGCTCCTCCAGGGAGGGGACAGCAGGTCTGACTTGCTCACACCCAGCACCGCCCAGTACGGGGCTAGTGAATGAATTCAGAGTCACCTGTCTCAACTACTCTTGTTTTCTTTTAGCCAAAGATGGGCTGGAAATGGCATTTGGGGGGGACGGGGGTGGGAGGGCATTAATGCTCCCGGCAGAGGTGGCCTCTTCCAACGCCCTCCCTGTTCGCTGACTGGCCGTCCCTGGCAGATTAAGGAGTCAGAGGGCGTCGTCAACGATGAGCTTCCAAACTGCTGGGAGTGTCCGAAGTGTAACCACGCCGGCAAGACCGGGAAAGTGAGTGCCGGGCTCCCAATCCCAGGGGTCAGCCCGGGAGGGACGGGCGGACCTCGGCCTTGCCAGTCCAACCTGTGCCCACATGGTTGGCTGGTGGGTGCTCTGGGCTCAGGGCAGGGCGCGCGTCCAAAGATATACAGTGCGCCTGTCCCTTCTCTCTTTTTGGCCTACAAGCAAAAGCGTGGCCCTGGCTTCAAGTACGCCTCCAACCTGCCCGGCTCCCTGCTCAAGGAGCAGAAGATGAACCGGGACAACAAGGAAGGCCAGGAGTCGGCCAAGCGGAGGAGCGAGTGTGAGGAGGCGCCCCGGCGCCGGTCGGACGAGCACCCCAAGAAGGTGCCCCCAGACAGCATCCTGCGCCGAAAGTCAGACGACGTGCACCTGAGGAGGAAGCGGAAATACGAGAAGCCCCAAGAGCCGAGTGGGCGCAAGCGAGTACTGAGAGCCCCGCCCAACAGGAAGGAGGGGGAAGCCAGCCAGTCACTCCTCTTCCCACCCCTTTAGGCCTCGACACTTCAGACGTCCCCTGGTTCCTCCTCTCACCTCTCGCCGAGGCCCCCTCTAGGCAGCAGCCTCAGCCCTTGGTGGAGATCCAGTCTCACCTACTTCCAGCAGCAGGTGCGCCCACTTCGCCCCGCCCTCCCGACGCCCT